AAGAAACGAAAATAAAAACAAAGAAAAATCGCTGCAGAGAGGCCAAAATACTCACTATCTATCTAGTCCTTTGCACAAAAAGTCAGAGGAATAGGGACATGGGCAGGAGGTCATGGGCAGGGAGTGGGGTCAGGAGCATCTGGGACCACCTGGGCCACCCCCTCCGTGCCAGAGTCCCCCACAGCGGGGCCGGGGAGCCAAGACATTGCTCCTAGAAATCCACAGAAACCTCCTGGAGGAGGACGGGCCGTCAGTGTCCACGTGGCCGGGACACGTGGCACACTGCGTTAGGGTTAACTCTAGAGAAATTTCAAAAGTGATTTCAGCTAACTGGGAGGATTTCGCCTTCTGAGTTGATTCGAGAATTGAACTCTCTTTTGAGACTCTATTGACTCATTTTTTAATCCGTAAACTTTTTCTTTTTTTACAGCTGTTTTAGGTTCCCAGCAAAACTGAGCTGTCCACGTGACCACGGAGTGGTACGTCTGTTACAAGCGGTGACCTATAATGGCATGTCGTTTTCACGCAGAGCCCACGGTTTACATGAGGGTTCACTCTTGGGGTGCTACGTTCGGTGGGTTTTGACAAACCGTGATGGTATCACACAGAGTGATTCCCTGCCCTGAGCTTCCTCTGGGGACCTCCGATCTTTTTTTTTTTTTTTTGCGACAGAGTCTCGCTCTGTCGCCCGGGCTAGAGTGCCGTGGCATCAGCCTCGCTCACAGCAACCTCCAACTCCTGGGCTCAAGGGATCGTCCTGCCTCAGCGTTCCGAGTAGCTGGGACTACAGGCATGCGCCACCATGCCCGGCTAATTTTTTCTATTTTTAGTTGTCCAGTTAATTTCTTTCCATTTTTAATAGAGACGGGGTCTTGCTATGTTGTCCAGGCTGGTCTCAAACTCCTGACCTCGAGCGATCCTCCCGCCTCGGCCTCCCAGAGTGCTGGGATCACAGGCATGAGCCACCGCACCTGGCCTATGTCTAACATTTATCTTCTAACTTCGCTCCTGGTGTTCTTAAACAGGAGTTTTAAATGTTGGTGCCACACACATCTCTTGTTCCCAGTATGGCTTTGTGTCTTACTTCTTGTTGCTTTTGATAACTGTGTATTTGTGGTTAGCTCTACAACCTACCTGGAGTACATCTCCTGCGTATGGTGAGAGGAAAAGCTCTATTTTTGGCCGGGCGCGGTGGCTCACGCCTGTAATCCTAGCTCTCTGGGAGGCCAAGGTGGGGGAGGATCGCTCAAGGTCAGGAGTTCGAGACCAGCCTGGACAACATAGCGAGACCCCGTCTGTACTAAAAATAGAGAGAAATTAATTGGACAACTAAAAATATACAGAAAAAATTAGCCGGGCATGGTGGCACATGCCCGTAGTCCCAGCTACTCAGGAGGCTGAGGCAGGAGGATCGCTTGAGCCCAGGAGTGGGAGGTTGCTGTGAGCTAGGATGACGCCACGGCTCTCTAGACCAGGTGACAGAG